CTTTAAACATGACAGTATTTTCCAAACTTTGCAGTAATTACTCATATTTTGGGAATAAAAGCATGACAGTTCTATTTTGGAATTTTCAAACTTTTTTACTCCTATTTCGGGAATTTTCCCTTACTTAAAAGACAAAAACATCCAACAAATACGTAGAAACCATAACACTGTAAATATGCATTTCATGTAAACCTAAACATCGTTGAACACTTCTTTGAATACAACATTCTGAGTCTTGCTAGTGGTTCCTTCATCTTCATCAACAATTAGAATTTTCAAATCACAACAATTGGTAACCCTTGATACTGCAACATACAACTGTGCGTGTGCAAATACCGGTTTTTCAACAACAACCCAACACTGGACAAAGATTGACCTTGACATCAAGATATTGCCCCTTTGAAATTTGAAAGGCAAGTTGGCATCAGATGGGGTCAAGGACAATCTAGGAATTAATACTTTTTGTCCAGCACTGACACGAGTTAAAATCTTCCCCCCCAAAACATAATCACTGAGCCTCGTTAGAATAAGCCGAGTCTCGTTACACAACCCCATTGAATGATCTATATTTCACAAAAGCATCACCGGGGTCCCTACCTTTAACGTTAACTCATGATTCGGTACACCGGATAATATTATACTATTCAAGAACTTCGGTGTGTGCAGTTCTGTCATTAGCTCGATCGTAGAATCAACCTTTGAAACAGTGTCGGTGCCTTCACCAACATTAAGAGCCTTCATATAGTCATTAATGGCTTCAACCACAGCTAGTGTCGGTGCCAAAATGGCACAGTTGCGCAAACAACTCATATCACCTCAGATTCAATATATTCCGGAAATATGCTTTCAATAATTGCAGCTATAAGATCTCCATTTGTGTGTATCAATAGATCTTCAGGAATAGTGATACGAACATTTTTAAAACGTGTACGATGCATAGGAGAACACCCGTGTGATGCACGATTTAAGGATTTTTTCTTCTTAAAACGTGTACGCTACTATACAGCACATGTATCCTAGAAAGAGTACCACTTGAGATGAAATGTGTTGAACACCCGTGTAATGCACAGTTAGTGAATTTTATCCTAAAACTATGTACTTAACTACACAACACATGTACCCTTGAAAGAGTTTCACTTTAGATGAAATGTGTGGAACACCTGTGCGATGTACGATTAGTTAAATTTCACAGGTTCAATTAATTTCAGTCAAATTCGAAGTAAAAAAACGAAACTTGTAATTTTAATTGAATCATTTAGAATTATACTCCTACAATAAAAAAGGTTGATATAAAATGAAATATATATTCAGTACGACTTACTAATGATTACGGAGTGTTACACAAATGATTTTGGCAATGAATTTTCCATTTTCAAACTTTTATTTACATTAATGAAAACTAACTTTTTATATACTAAGTGGTAGGGTGACTATACATTTATACGGATCGCGTTTTTTAAATGAATTGCTAGGGTAAATAGGTAAAATGGGGGGTGCAAATATGTGAAAATGCATTGTCAAATTTGTAGAAAAATGTTAAAACAAATCATTCTACTGTTTCAAATTTGTCAGTTGAGTCATTAATAGAAAACGGTAATAGTATCATTTAAGCATGTTTAAATGATACTAAACCTTGACGTAAGTAGTTCCCTTTATACAAATAGGATAATAGAATTGAATTTTTCTATAAAAACGCATACTCCGTACATTTTAAGAATATTTGAATATAGAAATAAAAAAATGATTTAATAGGATGACCACTGGGCCGTACTAAACCAAAGCCTCATACCCCTATTGTACGCTGGTATTCATCAACCTAACCTAATCCCAGAACCTTCCGGAACCTAATCCATCCCTTAAAATTACTGGACCAGACAGCCACAAGGCTACAAATCTTCAGCCATTGCGTCCTTCACTCTCCCGAGTCCCGACTATACCGTGTTGTCCGTGCAAGAAAATTTTTAAGGTCATATCTTTTCCAGGTTATCTAATACTCGTAGATTTATATTTATTATTATTCTACTCTGTATTTGAAGATTTATTCTGTTTTGACAGATTTTCATGACTCATCAACGGCCATACATTCAAGGCGCGCCACATATTTTGGTCATCGGATGCGGAGCTGCTGAGGTACCTTTCCTTATTTTGGGTTGAGCTTTTGAATATATGCGATGGTTCTATTCAACAACTATCCCGACATCGGAGAAGCGCTCAATAGAGCCGTGGCATATTTTCAAGAACTCAACCCAAACAATTTCTTAATTCTTCACGCCTTTGAAGAACAAGAAAAGCTCCGGAATTTTATGCTCTATTTGGGGAAGAGGAGATGGAAAAGGAGCGTGGAAAGTTCAAGACCCGTTTACAGATCCGATTGTGTTGATAGGAGAGAACGAAGATGCTGATTAGTCATCGGATAGAACAAAGAATTGCCCGGTGGACCCACCTTGTATCCCACGGGTCCCAAGTATGGTTGGACTCGGGTCGGGCCACCCGGCCCGTGGACCGGCCCGGCCCGCTACTGTGCGGGACCGGGACCGGCCCGGTTCTCAGGTCCAGGTCCGGGTCGGGCCTAGGCCCGTGGGGTAGGGCGGGTCCGGGCTCGGGTCTCAATTTTGGTGAACCGGCCCGGCCGGGTCGGGCCCGGGCCAAATTGATTTTTTTTTATTTATTTTTCATTTTTGGGGTTCCACCCGGGTTGGGCTTGATGGGTAGGATGGGTTTGGGGGGTTTGGGAGGGTGGGGGGTGAGGGGAGGGGTTAGGAAAGCAAAAAAAAAAAAAAATCCAAACCGGAGGCCCGGCCCGGCCCGACCCGGACCCGGTGGCTACCCGGGCCGGTCCCGGGTCCACTATTCTTGAACCGTCGGCCCGCCCGGGCCTAGGCCCGACCCAGACCCGGCCCGGACCCGAGTCCATCCCTAGTCCCATGACTCCACGGACTTCTAAAAGTATCTATATTATACTCATTCGCCCCTTTATATTAAAGTTATATATTTGTAATGGTAAAACTTATAATATCAAGGTTATATGAAAATGTTTATTGTTACAAATATGAAAGTATAAATTTATTAAATTTTCGCATAAATGTATTACTTAAAATAATGGATACAAATTTACCATCTTTGACTAGAAAAGTTAAAAATGGTTTTGAAATTTCAAAATAGTACTATCATGTTTTTTATTCCCTAAATAAGATTAAATTTCTGTCAAGTTTGACATTATTAGGTTTTTAAACATGACATTTTTTCAAACTTATTAGATTACTCCTATTCAAGGAATAAAAACATGATATTCTATTTTGGAATTTGATAGCGTTTTTACTCCTATTTAGGATCTCTCCTGCTCTAGTGTTTGCTATTGCTGTAATGCTATATGCCTAACATAACCTACTCGGACTAATTTGCTCATTTACACTGTCCGTCCAGGTCATTTCTTCCGATTTACTTGGCTCGCAAATTTTGATAGTGGGAGTAAAGTGGAAATGTATAGTTGTACTTATATAAGAAAAATGTGAATGAAGGTGAATCACATATTTTTTCCAAATGTGAAAGTTGGAAGAATTAATTAGGACGGTCTAGGGATGGACTCAGGTCCGGGCCGGGTACGGGTCGGGCCTAGGCCCGGGCGGGCCGGCAGTTCAGGAGTGGTGGACCCGGGACCGGCCCGGGTAGCCACCGGGTCCGGGCTGGGTCCAGGCTGGGCCGGGCCCATCATCAATTTTTTTCCCCTCTTCCTAATTAACCCCCCTCCCACCCCAACCCCCCAAACCACCCCAAATGGCCCAAAACACCTAGCCCAACCTGAAAATTGAAAAAAAAAAATTGAAAAAAAATTAATTTTGGCCCGAACCGGGCCCGGCCAGATCGGGCCTTGTTTTGGGTGACTCGAGCCCGGACCGGAAAACCCACGGGTCGGGCCTACCCGGACCGGTCACTGACCGGGCCACTGGATCGGACCGGACCGAAACAGTGCCGGTTACGGGTCGGACCACACGGCCCGAGTCCATCCATAGGACGGTCCAAAAAGGAAAGTTGGAAGAAATAATCGGAACAGAAGGAGTATTTTTTTAATTAAAATTGTTGCTTATGCCAAATGGTTTTAGTTTAACTAACTTCAATATATTAGCAGCAAACTCCACACACGGTACTCTTTGTTTTCTATTCTATTTTTTAACTTCTTTTTGGTAAATAAGTTTACACAATTTAGGTAATTATTTAGTAATGGATCTAGATTAAATTATTGACAAATACTAATATATTTTGAAAACGACAAAAAAATAAGATTTTAAAAAATGAACCAAATATTTTTATACTGTTTGTCTCAGCTTAAATATACTTGTCTTTTCAGGACGTCAAACTAAAGCTTCCTGTTTCCATTTTTGGAAATAACTAGTCGATCATCATCATTTCATCATCATTTATTCCATCAAATTCTCAAGCCAAAAAATAGTGAATCTTTGACTCTATTGTAAATGATGGAAAATTTTAGGAAATAACTAGTATGGCAAAATAATTCCCAGAAACAAGAAACAAAAGATGTATGGAAGTGCAAAGCCCTAGCTGGAGTCTGCAGAATTGGTGATTTCAAAGCCAAACAACTTCAGAATCATAATTCAAGCCATAGTTAGTATGGAGCCTTAAGCTTTTGATTGCTGCAACAAAACTAAAATTTAACAGGGAAGACAGTGGGACAAGAGGATGAGGATTAACTACACGAATTAATCAAATTTATATGTCGAGGAAATTTTAGAACCTTACTGTTCTAACTTCTAAGTAATTCTTTTTTGTATACACCATTAATAGTAGTCTACAAAAGAGGGTTAGAATTTGAACATGTTTGTAGAATTTAACCAAGTCTACACATGAATACCACTAGTGAAACGAATGATTCGCCTTTTTTAGATATTAATATAGTACTCCGTACAAAATATGTGTTCAGAGCTAAGCAACACAAACACGGTGAAATTCTAAGTACTTCTTAGGTCTTTAGACAATAGAACGGCCGGTGTGAACGCATAAATTGCAGCGACATACAAAACTACACTAAAAATACAGATTCTAAGAGCAGGACTCATCAAAAGATGCAGATTTTTTTTGCTGCTCTGATTGTAGCTGGAGGATTCAAGTGTACTAGAACACAGAGATGGATTCTTCTCCCTCTCCTCCTTCACAAACGAGGAATATGATTCCATTTCTCCCTGGGTGAGTAATGGCTTTAGTGACTGCCTGACGGTTTGGAAGTGTCGATCACACACAACAGTGGCTGAAATATCTTCTCTTAAAGCAACAATTCCAGCTTCTCTGCACAGTCCTTCCAACTCTGCCCCTGTGTAGAGATCCGTGTTCTCAGCTACTTGCCTAATGTCAACATCAGCATCTAACTTCATGTTACGCGTATGCACACGAAGGATCTCATATCGAGCTTCTAAATCTGGTGGCGGTACATAGAGAACCTGAGGATATATGTAGTTATTACTGTGAGGACATATGTATACTCCCTCAGGTCCCTATTAAAGTTCTCAGTTTGACTTCACACAGATTAAGAAAATAAATTTGACTTTACTGTGGAATGCACTGTTTGGACACTGTTTGACACTATTTTGCACTGTTTTGAACTGTTTTGTTTCCTACAATGGAAGTGTGAACTTAAATAAGGGACATCCCAAAAAGGAAAGTGAGAACTTTAATACGGACCGGAGGGAGTATAAGTATTCAATGCTAAAACTCTTGCGCGAAATCTCACTAAAGCTCTTCTATTAGATTGTTTGACATCATGTAATCTGGGATATGCTATTTGGATTTTTAACAAATTTGGTAAGGGTGGATTTGGTTTAAGTAACTAAATTGCAGCTGACATATTGAAGTTACTGAATTATGGGGAAGAAATACTTTGGACATATTTTATTGGTAATAATATTTGGACATAATTTGGACAGAAGTAACTAAATTGCAGCTGACATATTTCATATTACCGTAATATGAAAGAATAATAGACTCCGTAAAAAATAACCAACGTTGAACTTCACCAAACCCAGGCGAAAATTACATGAAACTCTAGCTCACCAAATCAATGTGCAGAATCATATAAATTAGTGTTTGGAAAAAAATTGCCTACAAGGATGATACGCTGAAAAGAGTGGCTGCAGCCTAAAACAGCACTTTGTACATTGAGATAAACTCGTGGTTTAGAATCAAGGTTTATGAACAGCATTCACAACAGTACTGAATGCTGAGAATCCCCTTATATAACCTAATATTTATGGGTGCCAATGCAACTTTAACAAAGGATACATTGTATCTAAACTATGACAATTGCAAAACTACATTTACAAATTTCAAACATTTGGGGGAACTAAAAGTGCAACTTTCCTAAATATTGAGTACTCAGTATTATTTTCCCACAGAATATGTGCTCAAAGAGTCAAAGTAAACTATGAAAATAACTGATACCAGATCGAAGCGCCCAGGTCGCATAAGTGCATTATCAATTGCCTGAGGGCGATTGGTTGCAGCCAAAACAAGAATCCCCTGATGGAATGAAAGGAAGGTGTGTAATATTAGGTTGCATTACTTTGGCAAATAAAGAACAATAAAGGGAATTATGATCACCTTCACTTGCTCCAGGCCATCCATTTCAGTCAAAAGAGTAGACAGAAGTCTCTCCCCAACAAGGCTGCTTCCGCTAGAACTTCCACCACTACAACAGTAGATAGAATATAAACAAAAAGTAGGATAAAAATTTATATTCTTGTGTACTTCCGAAGTACACAAGAATATAAAGATTTGTATATGCATGCTAAATAAATAAATAATTCATTGATTAAATAAATAAATACTGGTTAATAAAAATAGGGATCTCTGATTATCAGAACCTCATGATAATATGATTTAGCAAGAGTTATGTTAGTGTTATTGCTAAAATATTTCAATCATAAATATGAAATACGACTATCTATCCAAAAAAGTCATGTTCGAACAATGCATAACTTTTATTTACAGGTTGGGTACAGCGGACCTTTTGGCACGGACAATCCCGCGGATAAAACATCCAGTGACCCTCCAAGAGGATTCAAACATGTAACCCCAGAGACCATTTTGTTCCTGGATTCAAACTAGTTGAAACATGAACAACCCCTGAAGGTTGATGCAGAACTTTTTATTATACTTAGGTACTCATAAATCGTGAATAATATTTATAGTTGTCTGATTATTTTTACTTAACTAAATTTACCATATTACCATATTTAACTTTATGTGACATTATTTTTTGAAAAGTACATGAACGGTTTTCTTTGTTTGGTCTAAGTTACTCTTTTTGGGAGAGAAAAGAGTTAGAAGCTTTGAAAGATCTTTTTTGGGAAGGAGTAATATTTATCCAAGTGTGCACATTTTCAGTGTTTTATCGCAGTGTTTTAATAATCAGCCTAGTTAGACATGCAGACGCCTCTTGAGCAGTTCAATTCTAAGCAGATTAGGCAGCCAGAGTGCTCTTACAAAGGTTAGCTGCTCGTTTAGGCACACTAGGCCAGCTAAGCATCACTCAAATGCCTGGCTACTGCCAACGCAAATTTTAGAACATTGGTTTCTCCTAGTTATCAATCAATGGAAGTGAGCAACTAATACCTAGAAATTGAAGCTCAATTAAGTCACATTTACACAAGGGAAACATTTTATGCTGCGCTAATTACCGTTTGGCAGCAATGACATCAGCTTCATCAAAGAAAATAATGCTTGGTGCTGCAAGTCGAGCTCTTCGAAATGTATTGCGCAACAAAGCTTCACCTTCACCGACATACATCGAATACAATTCTGCACCACTGGTGCATTATCATTAAAATAATATGAAAAAAGTTACAATTCTCATAAAGAACATAAAAAAGTAAGGTTCTTATCACAGACCTCAAGGAAAAAAAAGAAGCCTGTGCAGCATGAGCAGCAGCTTTTGCAAGGGTGGTTTTAGAGCACCCTGGAGGTCCATGAAGAAGGATGCCACGAACAGGTGATACTCCCAACCGCGCAAATGCTTCAGAATGCCTTAACGGCCACTCTACAGCTTGTTGTAGCTTTTTCTGTTCCGTTTATCAAATAAAAAAGTTATATTAAAGATATTTTGCCCGAGAGGTGTTTGGTGAGGGTTGTTTGGCCATATATGCTGAACTTTTTAAAAGGAAAGGCACATAGAAATCGATTTCAGCCAAATAAGCATGTCAAAGGCACTATTCGGCTGAAAGGAGAATACACAGAATAAGCCTATCAACTTTAACAAACAAGGTCCAAGTAGGCCAACAGGTACAGACCTTTATGCCTTGCAGTCCTCCAATATCCTCCCAAGAAACCTTTGGAATTTCCACAACTACACCTCTTGTTATACTAGGACCAACAATAGATTTGGCATGCCTCCAGTCGTCCAGTGTTATGTTCCAAGAGCAATCTGCTTGATCTAATTCTGAAGATCGTCTGACAGCAGACATAGTAGCTTCGCGGCATAAAGCTTCTAAATCTGCCCCAACATAGCCATTACAAGAGGCGGCGATTGACTGCAGGTCAACACTGGGGTCCAATGGAAGTTTCTTAGTGTAAAGCTGCAATGTGTCAACATTCAATACACCGTCACTCAACAAAAACTCCATAAGACTTTAACATAAAAAATTGTTATTGTTGTTGAGGATTTATTTGACTTGACAGCCCAGCTTTAATAAGTCCTACAACATATATTTTGCTCTATACCCATCGATCCTTTCTTCATTCTTTGTTTTCTTTACAAGATTTTGTGTTGCATCTTTTCTTTGACCTTTGTATGTTTCTTGTATTGATATATTTTCTCAATTTTGACAAAATAAAAAGCAGGTGCCTCCTAAATAATAAGGTGAAGTTCGAACAATCCCTACTTTTAGAGATTCTATAATAATAATCCCTACTCAAAGTGTCCACAAAAATAATCCGAACTAGCAATGGTATTCATCATAAGAATAAATTGGGGTGAATTCAAATTAATGCCCGTTTAATACTTTCAACCTTTACTCCGACTTTTCTCTTCCCCACTCTTCTTCTCAGGGAAAATTCAAACTAAAACATGTTTAATATCAACACCATTTCCGTCATATGTGGTTCTGTGTAGGTTGGAGCATAGAAGTGTTAACCGAGACGGAGAGCGGTGAATGGGAAAATGGATGTAGGGGGGTTGGAAGTATTAAATGGACATTACTTTGAATCATTTCAATTTGTTCTTGTGGACACTCTCATTAGGAATTATTATTGTAGAATCCATAAAGTAGAAATTATTCTTGTGAATTTCGCCAAACAATAATAAATACTCCTTGATGAGCACCATACATTGAGGATATGGAAGCGTTCATCTTCATTAGGGGTTGTGACTTCAATCTCAGCATCGAAACGCCCAGACCTTCTTAAAGCCGGGTCGAGTGTGTCTACCCTGAACATTAATCGCATGCAAAAACATTCATCTTAAAAGACTTGCAATCAACAAACCATATGATATAAAAAATAAACATTTAAAAAACAGTATACCAATTACAGATGGCGTATATTGATTCAGATATCATAGTATGGTTGAAAAATTCAACAGTTTTTTATTCAAAAAGAGATTGTTTATCCTTCACCACAGTAATATTTTCAAAAAAAATCCTTCACCACAGTAACAAAAATACTTTACTGATTTATTAAAATAAAAAACGGATGTATGGTTGTAAATTACAAATGGTGTATATTTGCTCAGACACTATAGTATGGCTCTAGAAAATCAACAGTTTGTTCAATTCAAAAAAATGACTATTTAACCCTCACCATAGAGAGAAAATCATTAGTAATCCCAGCCTCCCTCCCTGCCATGAATAAAACATATTCAGGTTGAATTTCTTTGGGTATAGGTTCATGGCATATCAACATCTTTGTAGTAAAATTAATATTAACATATAAAGGTTGGATTTCTATGAATACGGGTTTATGCCATATCAACAATTTATAGTAAATGTAAAATAACAAAATAGGTGATACCCTTGAAAGCAACACCACCAAATTACTATTGACCTTCAATAATATAAGATAGAATAATAATGGAGAAAAGGGGTCGGATAGGGCCTCGAACTTACAAAAAAATGTCAAATTAGATGAAATTTTCCTGCCGAACTTGGGGGTTTTATGTCGAACTTACAAGAATAGTATTGGGGGTTTTATCCTGCCGACGCCATTTGGGGCGGTTTCCGGTGGAATTTTCGATGAAATTTTGTGAACATCTTATTCAAAAGTCTAGTTTAGTCATACCAAATTTCAGCTAAAACTTCAATCGGGAAGGCATTCAAATTAATTCTTGAAGATAACTGCGCTTTTAACTGCGCACTTATCTTCAAGAATTTATTGGAATGTCTTCCCGATGAAAATTAGTATGAGTAAACTAAACTTCATGAATAAGATGCTCACAAAATTTCATTGAAAAATTCCACCGGGAACCGCCCCAAATGGCATCGGCCTGACACAACCTCGTATATAAGGCTTATTTGACATTTTTTGTAAGTTCAAGGCCCTATCTGACCCTTTTCCCAATAATAATACTTTCTTTTTCAATTCACATATCAAAAAAATATCCTAAATAAGAATAGTATTGGGGGTTTTAATTTGCCAAATTGCCATTACAGTGACAGGTTACTTAAGAGAATGATGGAAAAGAAGGGTTTCTCCACCAAGAGTAAAACTCATTTACTAATATATGCAACTTAAAAGTAAATAAAAATAACCAAAATGACCACTTTGAACTTGTTTGAATACAACACAAGAAAAAATGGAAACCAAAAAGTTACTCCCTCGAAGCATCGGTAGAACCCACCTATTAGTTGATGCCACAACAACAACATGTAATCCAGATGTTGAAACGGACTTATTAGAGTCCATCAACATAAAGAGCTGAGAAGCTACACGTACATCTTGTTCTCTTCTGCAAAAGCAAACTCAACAAGTATGTTGAATGAACTATGAATAAGAAATTATTATGTGCAAGTGCAATAATCTATGAAGCACGGAAATTTCCAATGGCTCATGCTTCCTCGTTCCGCAAACTTGAAAGCGTATCAAAAACTCCAGAACTTCAAATTCCAGTTTGGGGTGTTTCAATAATTAAGAAAAATTGGAAAGCTTGTTTCCCAAAATAATCATGTTTCGGAAACTTTGGGTTTCCAAATTTTTTCTTTATGATGGGATCCACAACAACAACAACAACATCCAAACCTTAATCCCAAAAGAATTCGGGTCGGCTAACATGAATGGATCAATGATATCGATGCCAAACAGAGAAGACGGACAAGAAGGGAAAAAAAAGTAAGGTAAAACGAATAAAATAGAGAAAAATAAATATAACATTAAACAAGCATTCCAGTCCAGCTGGTTATGAGGTTACCGTGCCTAGTTAGAGGTCTCGATTTTGAAACCCGCTAGGCACATAAGGGTTTGAAACTCAATGGAGTGAGTTTCAGCCCTGATTACTCCAGGCCGCCAAGCCTCCTCCCTAGACGCCCCCTAGGGTAAAAAAAATACTCCCTCCGTTCCTAAATAAACTTCCAACTTTCCTTTTTCGTCTGTTCCAATTAAATTTCCACTTTCCTTTTTTGGTAAAGAATTTGTGGTTCACAACATTTCTTACACATTTCTCTCTCCTCTTCACAACTCTCCATCACACAATATCCACTTTTCTTAAATTGTGTGCCAAAGTGGATTGGAAGATAAAATAGGAACGGAGGTAGTATAAGATAACAATGACATAAGAATACAAGAAAGATAAAAGATAGAAAGATAAAAGAGCATAAAAAGCTAGAAGATTAAAATAACATTAGAATATAAAAAGATAAAGAAGATAAACGATAAAAGAGGAGAGAAGAAAGGTAAAAAAGACATCATTCGTCCACACGGATGTGCGCCCTCCACTTTGCTCTCTCCAAAGTCACACTCTCATCCAACCCAAGAAGACGCATATCAGTTCTGATTCCAAGTTTGTTTGGATCTTCCCCTCCTTCTATTCTCTGTCTCTTCTCCCCACCCCTCAAGTCATCTAACAGGTGCATCGCTTGGTCTTCTACGGCTTTACACACATGTCCAAATCACCGCAAACGAGACTCCTGCATCTTATCTTCTATGGGTGCTACTCCCACTTTTTGTCTCATTATCTCATTTCTCAAGCGGTCTTTTCTGGTATGTCCACACATCCAACGCAACATACGCATCTCTAGCACACTCATCTTTTGATGGGATCCATTGATGAAAAATAGTGCCTTTTTACAACTCTAGTGAATTTGTATAAGATTTCTTCCTAGCAACATTGTGCTCTTTCATAAGCCAATGCATTGCTATAAATGTATTGAATTTTAGATTTAATATCTACTAATATGTAATAATTTATAAACTCGAATACATAGTCTATAGTTATTAATGGTTATCAAACAAAATTATAGGGAATAATGTACATATATATAAATGAAAAAAAATGTATACATGTATAAAAATATTTATACATATGTCCTCATGTTTTTTAAAATTAATGTGTTTTTCCCATATTTTGTGTCATGTATTTTTTAGAAACCATGTTTCCTGTTTCCATACTACTTAGGCAATAACAATGTTTGAAATTGTGTTTTGCGAGCTTGAGGCAGTTTCTTGGCATTGCCTATTGTGTAAACCTCATTGCGCAATGAGCCTTCAGCCTCAATTTTTACACAAATTTATATACAAAGAACAAATAATGTAATAAAAAATAAAAACAAAAATGTATTAAAATCAATAAATCTCATAATAAAAACCAACAGCGTATGAGGTCATAAACAATACTCCGTATATTAGAAAAGTTAAAAGAAGACAACTGCTCTACAAGAATAAAACTTATTTATTATTGTTGCTTCTACCAAAATTAAGATTATTCGCCCCACACATATATACTAAAATGTGCTGCTCGTATATTTAAAAAGTTGAACTGACACATGTCCCTATATTTCTCAAACACATTTTATAATATACAGGAATTGCACTTAAAACATGGCACCTGTTTTTAGTATATAGGAGCTCCTATCTTTGACGCGGTAAAGGGTAAAATGAATTAAAAAATTGATTACCAAAGCTTGTTTTAAAATTAATTAAAAGATCATAAATTAAAAAAAAATGGCTAATATCCAACGCAGTTGCAGAGCTGTTTCTGTATGGCTGTATGAAAACAAAATTAAAATTTCCATACCTGGGAAGCCATGAAGAATAAATGAACAAGATAGAAATTGCAGAAAAACAACCAGCCTTCTTCAATGAAGATAAAACTCACAGCCGTTACAGAGAAGTGAGTCATAGTAGAGGTAATCTTATATACGAATTGTTTCAAATAAAATTTGAGCTAAATTTCAAAAGTGGGCCCAACTTCAATGATGTATTTCTCAAGGTGCAAGCCCCGATCATCGCCCTATTGTGTACGCAATAGGCGTATGCCTCATCTACAATTGCGTAAAAAAAATATTTTTCCTAAAAGGGATGCACCTCCCATCGTAAAATACCTCAAAAATATCAAGGCGTGCAAAGGCATTGTGCAATTTCAAACAATGGGCAATAATACATCAAGACAGCTTTCAGTTATACAAGTTTGAGATAAAGATAAAACTCACAGCCCTGGAAAGTGTAGTAACTGAAATGATTACCTAGAATCACGACGAGGGCATAGTACATCAATTTCGTCTAAGAAGATAACGGATGGCTTCCCAAGCTTTGCATGAGATGATGCTTTTGCAAATGCTTCCCTCAAAATTCTCTCGCTTTCTCCAGCATATGCTCTATGGACACTGTGTGGGCTACAGATGCACCACAAAATTAATGACATTTGGGATCCATGCCCATATATTTATAAGAGCTTCTCATATGGGAAAAGAGATAAGGCATTAGCATTCACATATGACCCACAAATATTTTCTTGACATCTCCCAAAGCAACTTATGTGTGTCAAGTTTCTTCATAAGCTATGTAACATTTTAGCATAAATGTCTCCAATTTAACATCATGATAAGCAATGAAACATTCAAACATTTCAATAACTCCAAAATGCACATGTTCTTTCTATCACTAAAATGTGCATATAACACTACCTTAGTCCCGAAAAAAGTCACCATTGTAATACTAGGATCATTATTTTAAACACGGCTCTATTTTGGGGCGGAAGGAATAGTTAGTCTCTCATCTGCTTAAAAATAGAAAATAAAGCTTGCTAGGGGATAACTCTATATGCATAGATCATCTCATTTTCATTTACCCCAGTGCCGCAAAAGCTCCCACCTACGGTGGGGTAAGGGGGGGTCGGATGTACGCAGTCTTACCCCTGCACTAAAGCAGGGAGAGACTGTTTCCGGTCTATATCTATAGATGTAAAAAACAAAACATGACACACATAAAATATTACAATATGTAGTACCTAATAACAGTCAAATGTGCTCCACATTCTTGAACAACTGCTCGAACCAAACTTGTCTGCAATTCCAGTAATACATTATTGGAACAATAATTGAGAAATAGATCCCTTTTGCTCACAATGCAAATGGTGATCAAGCTAAAAGATAGATAGCCAAGAGAATAAATGAGCATCTACCTTTCCGGTACCGGGTGGACCATAGAGCAACAAGCCACGAGGCCACTATAAGAAGACAATGAAAGATAACCCACCAATAAACAAGTCTATCAATATTATTAGTGAGGGGAACTATACAAAAGCATTTGTATCCAAATTACTTTGAGGCCAAGCTTTTGAGACTCTTGAGAATACAGGAGTGGATACGTAATGAGTTCCCGAAGAGCACGGACTGCCTCTGCATTTCCAGCAATGGCATCCTCAGCCGTCCACTCTCTGCTGTCAGTTGTACTTCCAATGCTGCTTTCCATTAGAAGTTTTATTGTATGTTTCTAAAACGTTCTTCCAAATAGGTTTCCAAGTCAGCTTTTGTGGTTACAGGATTGGCAATTGAAAACCTACAGCAGAAATTACAATGTCAAGGTGGTGCAGTGGGGACAATTTAAAATAAAAAAACACAAGCTAAATCAAAGAAAACCACTCAGATTGTTTTCAAAACACTACAATAGATAAATTAATTCTACGAACTAACATGAGAGGCTCAGGAACCGATTACTCTTCCAGAAGTTGTGTTGACTAAGACAGGGCCTTCATGTTTGTCAGGACTGGGCGAAACTCTTTGACTTTTTTCTCAACATTAACTCCTTTATCATCTGATAAGTTGCATATTTAAATAAAAATAGCACCACAAATAACAACTAAAACTAAAACATAAATGTAAAATTTAAAAACATTTTTCATACAAGATTGTGAAGCAAAATCGGCAATCATAGCTTCAAAATCAATCTCTTCAAGCGTCTCATGCTCGACGCTTAATATTAGTAATCCACTAACCTTTCTTGAACATAGGTAACCGCAAATAATAATGCATTAGCATCTCAACGCTTAATATTAGTAATCCACTATCCTTTTTTGAACAAGATTGATATTGCTGGCACACGAAACTGGTGCTTTCAATTTTACATATGTAACTACAATGGAATTTGATTTAAGTGTGCAAGTAAATGAACATTTGACAATTATACTTGCATATTACTTCACAGATCTAAAATTGGTTTTCTTTTTTAAAAAAACAATACAATAATGCCAGCTATGTTGCACGGAAGTGTAGGAGGCGTGCTGAAATGTGAAATGGGAAACACCACCTTTTAGCATAAAAGCAAGTTCTGAGAGAATTTCTAGAGAGTTTCCGTAGAATTTCAAGAACGAAAACATACTCTCTTGATAAGGAAGGTTATTGATAGTATATAAGTGTTATAAGAATAAAGATAGAATAGTAATGAGAAGAGAATTTTCTGTGTATTTCATTGAAGGATTAAGTCCTTTATATATACATTACAAAGATAGAATATTCCTTTAAGATTATACAATAATAATATCCTAGAGTATATTCCTAAAATATTCTAAAGCATATTCTAAAGCATATTCTAAAGAATATTCTAATGTCTTTCACACTCCTCCTCAAGTTGGAGCATAGATATTTATCATGCCCACCTTGTTACATAAGTAACCAACATGAATTCCATTTAGTGCTTTAGTTAACAAATCTCCAAGTTGCTCTCCGGTCTTCACATATCCTGTAGAGATCAATCCTTGTTGTATCTTTTCTCGAACAAAGTGACAATCAACTTCAATAAGCTTTGTTCTCTCATGAAACACTGGATTGTTGGCAATGTGTATCAAACTTGTTAAAAGCGAAAAAAGCGTAAAAAAGCGACAAAGCGTCTGGCTTTTGAGAAGCGTCCTAGCATGAGAAAGCTGCGCTTTTCCCTTCGCTTTTCTGGAGCTCGCTTTTTTGAAAAGCGACCGCTTTGCCCAGCTTCTCACAAAAAGCGGCTTTGACAAGTCATTTTTTTAAGTTTTAGTCCCTTGTCGCTACGCTATTAGGGTTATCAGGTTTAAGTTCGACTCTTTCCACACTCTCGTTGCACTGAAGAAGTCGCGACCTGCGATTGAAGAAGCCAGTGAGTGAGCTACGGAAGTCTCGTCTCTGTTACCTAGTTCTGTCTGAAGAAGCCGCAGTTCTATTTCATCTAGACTTTGTGAGCCACGATTCTATTTCATTCAGATTTCAGATTGTTCTCCAGACTTTTTCATTCAGATTGTTCTCCAGACTACTAGTATTTCATTAAGTTTACTCTGCTTTAGTTTGTGCCAAACTTCCGCAGCTCTCTGGTTTTTGTTTTTATTTTTGAAAGTCTTACTCTTACACAGTTTCCATAAGCTTCTAAAACAGCTTATATTATATAGATATTATTTAATGAAAGAAATCACAATTTATCATTTTCTTGTTAGTAATTATAGTTTTAAACAGGTGAATTATATATCATAATGAAAGCATAGATAGCTAATGCCTTTTGTTGAAGAAAGAAATCATTTTCTTGGTAGTAATTGTACCTATTATTCTATCAAGTATTAATGTAGTAAATTTTTTACGAAAATATCAATTTGTTTTCTTGATTAATTAAATTTTAGTTTATTCCAATTTATTCATTTCAGTTTATTGATTTATTAATTTTTAGTTTATTCCAGTTTATTCCTTTTACTTTATTGATTAGATAGTTTTTAGTTTGTTACTTGATTTACTTCGGTCCAGTTTGTTCCTTTCCGTTTATTGATGAACTAATTTTTAGCTTATTCCAGTTTATTCCCCTAAGTAATATGGTCTTATGTGTGACTTTTCAAATGTAAATTGTACCGTCTTATAAGTCTCAATAGATCTTTGTACACCTGCTTGATGTCTAGATTAAATATTTGTGAAGCATGTATACGTAGAATTGTAGACAATCATGTGATGGATGTTTTTATCTTTATGCATTACCCTTGTGACTTTTATGATTAGTTATGCGTTTTTGCGTAATTGTGTGATGAATGTTTTGAAACTTTATGCCCCACTAATATTATTCTTAATGACTTTTATGACTACTTATGAATTTTTGGCATAATTATACATTGTATATTATATTTTTTATTATTTTTATAAGCATCGCTTTTTGTGAGAAAGCTACTCTTCGCTTAGCGCTTTCGCTTTTAAGCAAAGCCCAAGGTCATCGCTTTTGGACGCTTTTCGCTTTAAAAAAGTTTGATGTGTATAGCAGCTTGGTTATCACACCAGAGTTTAGCAGGCATTGGTGTCTTCAATCCCATTTCACTCAATAAGTGGTTTATCCAAATTATCTCACATGCCGACTGTGTCATAGCCTGATATTCTGATTCAGCACTCGAACGAGAAACCACATTCTGCTTCTTACTTTTCCAAGAAACGAGATTACCGCCAACAAAGACGCAATAGCCAGATGTGGATCTTCTATCATCTTTAGATCCAGCCCAATCAGCATCTGCAAAGCATTCTATTCTTATGTGATTATGATTTTGATAAACAATACCTCGTCCCAGTGTCCCCTTCAAGTAACATAATATATGCTCTATAGCATTCCAATGATGATCAACTGTCGAAGATGACATGTATTGACTTACTACACTCACTGAGTACGCAATATATGGACATGTAACTGCAAGATAATTAAGTTTTCCAACCAACCGTCTATATCTTTCCGAATCTTGGAATGGCACACCTTCATGAGTGAGTTGCACATTGGGAATCATTGGAGTATTGCTTGGTTTTGCCCCCAATTTTCCTGTTTCAGTTAGTAAGTCAAGCATATATTTACGTTGAGATAAAAATATACCTTTCTTACTCCGTGTAACCTCAATCCCCAAGAAGTATTTCAATGAGCCCAAATCTTTCGTCTGGAATTGACTATGAAGAAAATTCTTTAGGGCCAAAATACCAGCATTATCACTCCCTGTAATCACAATGTCATCGACATACACCACAAGCAATGTGATACCTGCTTTCGTTCGTCTGTGATACAGAGCAATCTGATTTGCCTTTTATCATTCCTAATCGTTCAATTGATTGGCTGAATTTCCCGAACCATGCACGGGGACTCTGTTTCAAACCATAAAGAGACTTGCGAAGTCGACAGACTTTTCCATACTCTCCTTGAGCAACAAACCCTGGAGGTTGCTCAATATAAACTTCCTCCTGAAGATCACCGTGCAAGAATGCATTCTTAATGTCCAACTGATGTAAGTGTCAACCATGAGTTGCAACGAGAGAAATAAGTAACCTGACAGATGTTAATTTAGCAACAGGAGAAAATGTGTCAGAATAATCAACATCATAGGTTTGAGCGTAACCCTTCACAACTAATCGGGCTTTCAACCGAGCAACGGATCCGTCAGGGTTAACCTTTACAGCAAAGACCCACTTACATCCTATAGACTTCTTCCCTGTAGGTAAGTCTACCAAATCCCAAGTACCATTAAGATCCAAAGCATTCATTTCCTCGACCATTGCATGACGCCAATCAGGATGAGACAAAGCGTCTTTGATAGATTTGGGAACAGAAATAGAATCAATGGAAGCAATAAAAGAACATGAGGCAGATGATAATTGATTATACGATACAAATGAAGAAATAGGATGAGTACAAGACCGTGTACCTTTACGCAGTGCTATGGGGAGGTATCGGTTCAGGACATGAGTTAGAGATCGGATCAGTATCAGGAGAAGTAACCACGGGTGGAGAATGATCTTGTACTTTGTGTCGACGGGTGTATACCAAGTGTACCGGAGGCCTAGGCTCAGGAAAAGTAACATGTGGAAGAACTGCTGAAGTATTGGACTCGGGTATAGTGACTGTGTAAATGAGTATATCATCATTCTCCCTACAAATATTTGTCTCCGTTGATGAAAAAGGTGTATTTTCATAAAAGGAGACATCAATTGAAACAAGATACCGACCCGTACTTGGAGAAAAACATTTGTACCCCCTTTGAACTCGAGAGTAGCCTAAGAAAATGCACTTTAATGACTTGGGGTCTAACTTTGTTAAATGGGAATTAACATCTCGTACAAAACAAGTGCAAACAAATATTTGTCTCCGTTGATGAAAAAGGTGTATTTTCATAAAAGGAGACATCAATTGAAACAAGATACCGACCCGTACTTGGAGAAAAACATTTGTACCCCCTTTGAACTCGAGAGTAGCCTAAGAAAATGCACTTTAATGACTTGGGGTCTAACTTTGTTAAATGGGAATTAACATCTCGTACAAAACAAGTGCAACCAAATACTTTAGGAGGGACAGGAAAATTTTCATTGTTTGGAAATAGGCACTTATATGGAGTTTTACCATCCAAAACAGTAGATGGCATTCGATTAATCAAAAAACATGCGGTACACACAGCATCTGCCCAAAAATGTTTTGGCACATTCATTTGGAATAGAAGAGCCCGCGCAGTTTCTAATAGATGTCAGTTCTTTCGTTCAGCAACTCCATTTTGGGGAGGTGTGTCTACACATGAGGTTTGATGAATTATGCCATGTTGAGCCATATACAACTTAAATGAGGCAGACAAATATTCTTGAGCATCGTCTCCCCTTAAAATACGAACAAGTACATTAAATTGAGTTTTGATTTCAGCACAAAAGGCACAAAAATGAGAAAATAACTCTGAACGACGCTTCATGCAATAAATCCAAGTCATACAAGAATAATCATCAACAAAGGTAACAAACGATTTAAAACCAGATTTGGGACACAACAGGGCAAACGCCCCAAACATCAGAATGAACAAGTTCAAAAGGAGCCTGTGCTCGTTTATTGACTCGGGGACTTAGACTAGTTCGATGATGTTTTGCAAATTGACATGAATCACACCATAAAGATGACACCTTATTGAATTGAGGATGAAGTTTCTTTAACAACGGAAGAGAGGGATGACCTAGTCGATAGTGAGCCTCTAACACAGTTCCAACCCCAAGACAAGAGATTGATTTGGGTAAGGATGTATCCAAGAGATAGAGACTAGCCGACTCATATCCTTTACCAATAACCTGATTCGTCATAAGATCCCGAAATACACAATATCCAGGAAAAAAGGTTACAGAACAGTTAAGTTTGCGTGTGATTTTGCTGATCGAAATCAAATTAAAAGCAAAATTTGAAAGATTTAGGACGGGTGACAAAGGTAAGGTAGATGTTGGGACAATTGTACCCGTACCAAGAACAGGTGATGTAGATCCGTCAGCCAAAGTAACACTAGAAGTATGAAGAGGTGTGTGGAATGAGGAAAAAAGACTAGGATTACCTGTCATATGATCTGTTGCTCCTGAGTCGATAACCCATTTTGAAGATGAAGATACAAGACATGTGTTTGGATTACCTGAATTAGCGACAGCTGAGATAGGAGTAGATGAATGCTTTAAAGCCTCCTGGTAACAAAGGAATTTGGCGTATTCCTCAGAAGAAATAGTGATGGATCCATTAGATGGCTGTGTAGCGGAAGCAATGTGAGCAACTTGATTTCCCTGATTTTTGAACTTTAGCTTTGACAATCTTTGATCAAGTGCCCGGGTTTCTTAAAGTAGTTGCAGACTACTCCTTTGCCAATCGGTCCAATGCGTGGCCATTTCTCACCTCCATTGGGAAATGTTGGGACTTGCCCTACAAAGGCATTGCTTGGTTGAGGTGCTGATGATGTGGATGAAGTGTCAGTGCGAAAATTAGACGTAAGGCCAGCCAAAAAACTCATGACTGCCATTTGTTCTCGTTGTTTCTGCTGCACTTTGATATCGGGCCTAAATGGCATTAAGGTATTAAGTTCTTCATACATTTTCTTGAAATCCATAAAATAAGCCGTGAGAGGCTTATCTTTCATTTCTGCCCTGTAAAATGCTCTGCACACCTCATAGATGTGGTTAAGATTACCTTTGCCAGAATACATAAATTCCAAATAATCAAACAGCTCTTTCACAGTATCACAATGACTAACATACCCCATGACGTCATTTTCCATGGAGTTCTGAATCTGGATAAATAATCTAGAATCATCACAAAGTCATGCATCACTGGCAGCTTTATCAACCTCCTCCTTTGGCGGGTCATCAACTAAGTGGGTATATTTATCAATGCTCCTTAAATAACGTTTGATAGTTTTACTCCATCCAAGATAATTGGAGCCACAAAGTTTATTCTCAATAATTTTAAAATTAATGGGAATAACTTAAGAAACTATCAAAGACCGATTTTGTGTTACCGTGGAGGTGTCAGCGTCAGAACCTGACATTTTTTTAACAAGATATTAAGTGAACTTACAGCCCTTTCTTCTTAGCGCCAGAAACGCAGGTCGAAGTAGCCCGTCTACGTTCGCAGTTCCACACTCATCCTTCCTTGACATTTACTGTACAAAGAAAGCTTCCAATATTGTAACGAAGTGTACCTGGATATCACTAGAGGACACTCCGGCGAGTATGGTGATGGTCTCCGGTCGAAGCTCCGGCCAGAAATACGCCTTCACGCGCCGGCGCGTGAGTAGGCTGCGAGAGCATCCGGCGCGCGTCTAGCTCACACACGGTGGTTTGGACCTGCAGGTTTTGATTTTCTGGTCTTCGGCGGAAGGCGCACCAGCATAGGGTGGAGGTGAGGTAGGCGCAGGACTAAGGTTCTGAAGTTGTGTCGGCTGAAGTTCTGAACCTCTGGATTTTGGTTTTCTGGTCGCCGGCTGATGTTCTGTAAACAGAAGTTCGAACCAATAGAGAAAAAAAAATGGAAACTGAACTGGAATAGAATAGTTTCTGGGATTGGATGTTCTGGGAGAGGTTCTGGGAAAACAAAATAATAATAACTCACAGAGTAAAGCTAAAATTTCTGGACAAATGTTCTATGAAGCTCTGATACCATGTTATAAGAATAAAGATAGAATAGTAATGAGAAGAGAATTTTCTATGTATTTCATTGAAGGATTAAGTCCTTTATATATCCTACTATATACAAACCAAAGTGGAATTTCAGCCACTTTTCCCGCCCAAACAATCAGTTATAATATGGGTCGAGTCCCAACTATGTTGCTTAATTGCGCATTTAATGCTCTGGATTTGGGATGGGACAGAACAATACTTTATTTGAATTTTGAACAACTGGCGTGTTGAACTGTCCTTTAAAGTATAACTGGCGTGTAAAGTACGCAGCTTGATAGCTGTATTTTAAGTACGATTCTTTTTTAAGCTTGATAAAAAGCATATGTTTGGTCAACATTAATCTGCAATGTACGGTGAGTCCAATCACTTTTCATTTCAAAGAACAACACATTATTAACCATTGAGTAATATATGTCATACACAATCAAAGCTTTTCAAAATCGATGTATAAATACAACTAAATTTATCACCAACACCACAACCAAACATTGGAGTTGATTGGGAGGGTTTTGAGTCTATTGAAGTTCCTCAGCATTCCAGTGGTCGTTTCCATGAAAAAGGTATATCATGTGCCTGTTGCAAATCTTTAATAACAATACAAATTTTCAACGTGTTTGAGTAGTGTTGGTCTGACTAACATTCACTTAAATTTGCAGGGAGGATGTATTAATGCACCAAAGATTAAACGATGACAAATGACTCATTGGTGAGACCATAGATCCATATAATCAATTCTTATTAGAGTAAGTGTTTAGTTTGTTTATATTTAGCATTTTGTATGTTTTCTTGCAGGATTGATAGTGAAACACATAGAGCAAGAGATCATGATCAAGCACAACCAATATTCAATAGATAGGGAGTAAAGAAGAAGTTTAGATACAAAATGGGGAGAGAAGATTTCTTAAGGAATGTAATATGGTTTACAAGTATATGGTATAGGCAGAATAGCTACTACCTCATCCACGGTCAAAGCTTAACATTCCTTTAAAGTTTTACTGAAAAATTTACATTTTGTAAAGTTATTAGTGTTATTAGTGTTAATTGAAAGCCGTTGTTTCCTACAGTTAGTATACAGTTACCTACAACATTTAATCAACAAATAATACGACTTATGTGAAATTTTGTCTATGAACTTTCCAAGTATTCTCTTTATCCCTTGTTCATACTAGGTCAAACAATGAATTGTTTGTTGATTACAAGTTTAGGAATAATAGGTATTACAAAATGATCACAAAAACTGAAACTTTTAGACTAAGTTTTTTTTATGTATCAACCATAATTAACTGATCCAAACACTGGAGTCATTATTATAAACATGTTGAGTTTTATTTACTTCGAAAATATGTTGAAATGTATTTAAAAATATATATAATAGTAAAATTAAATTTTATAAATCACAAGCTGAAAGTGTGTAAACAGAGAATATAAATGTTGGACATAATGATTGTTTACTCTTCACGTATAAAAAAGTTGAATTTATGAAATACAGAGTATAAATGTTGGAATATTGATTGTAATCAATGAAGTAAAAGTATACATTTCAGTTTAAATGCTCAACATAACATATTTTTATTATGTACAATAAAACAAAAACAACTATACATGTCTTTCATGTTTATTACTCTGTAGCATTTACACATTGCCCATGATTTATAACTTGAAAGACTAGCAAACCTTTTATCTTAAATACTTTTTAATTTGAATTTAATATATTAAATTTAACTTAATGTGAAAAGTAATTATGATTCGAATAAATTATTATGGAGTAGAAAAAGATCATACCTGGGGACTTTCTAAAGCATAGTAACATGGTTTGAAAAAAGATATAGCATTGGTGTTGCATGCCTGCAATATATAAATGTAAAAGGAAGACATGTTAAAATATATATACTTTTATGTCATATATTTCTTATTGATACAAATTTTGGTTAGAAGTGATGAGCCCTTCCATTTTTCAAGCAAGGCAGAACTAGATAATGATAAGTTACACTGATAGTTGAAGAGTATGAATGAGAAAATTAAACCACTGTACAATGATTAAAAAATAAAATAAATAATCCTTTTTCAGATAAAATTCAAGAACCCCAAATTAAAAATATGTATGGATGTCAAGTCAACTGTAACTTATTATTCTCAAAAAATTGAAAGTGAACAAAGTTACAATGAGTAAAGTAAGCCATAACACATTATTTAGTCACAACTCACAAGTAGTGAGGAGCAGCATGACAACAAATATTTTAATAAAATCAGAACTGTTTTGAAAAATAAATCTTTACTTCTCATATTATATATATATATATATATATATATATATATATATAATATGAGTGTTATATACAGAGTATTAGTTAAGCATGTATGATATTGGCCCTATTTATCCTGACCTTGGCAAAGCGCTATTGCCTTCAATCAAGGATTATGAAGAGACCGTACTATAAGGTTAAAAGAAGGTTAAAAAATAGGTTGATGATAATAACTTTACTTTTAGTTAATCTTTAAATAATGAAACAATTATAGATAAAATGTATAGACAAAACAGATGTAATTGCTTTTATTTATACCAAAAAATCTAAGTATGACATGTTCCCATTCAGAATGGTTCAAGTTGGTTCTGTGATATACCAAAAAAGCACTTTTTGTGGGTTGAATATGGATCCTAGGTAAACTTTAGCAGTGTAAGAATGTTCATTCTGCTAAAATTTAATAAAAGTGATGTACAAGGCAGTATCATCATTACATGATACAGAGTCTAAATACCAACGGATACAGCCCAGCTTTGCAATCCCAAGTACTTATGTATACTTAAATGCATTAACACTGTTTTGAAAGCCATTTAAAAGCTACAAACAAACTATCAAACCAGAGCATCTCTCACAACATTCTGTGTTTATTAATCGCATACATTTAATTTGATGAGTGATCCATACACACACATGAACATGAAGGCAAGTTTACACACACATTTCAAGTATTACAGGGTAAGTGACCTTAGAATTATTGTTCCAACAAACTAAGTGAAAAATTGTTGGATGAGCTCTGTGAAAAATTATCACAGATTGGAACAAAGTGAATTATTGGAACAAAGTGACCTTAGAATTATCAAACTATTGGATGAGCTCTGTGAAAAATTGCAAGAGTATATCTTGAGCATGTTGATTCAAGCACAAAAGTGTGGATCGAAGTGAAAAACTGAGATCATTTTGAAACTAATGTGCAGGTTGATTCAGGCACACACAACGCTATAGTACAGTTTGCCTATATACGATATATGCAAGCATGACTATTTTTTTCATAAACATGTGTACCTATAAATGACCACTTATATTATACAACTTAAAAAAAACAGTGTGCTGGTAATAGTGGACAATGTATTTGTAATTAGGCAAACAAATCCACGCTATCAATGTCCCTAAAAACAGTGAGATGTTTTCTAATACATAACAAGTCAAATGTGTTTACTTTAAAATCTGACTTTTTTGGGCTTAAGTAAACAAAAAGAGTCACAAGCATCTTGACATGATCTGCTACAAACAAATTGAGATTTAGTAATATTAGGCCTTAAGAAAAGTTTTTTAACCATTACCAGTAGGCCTTTAAGAAAACATCATTTCTTATTACAAATAGTGTACGTAAAATCTATTTGAATGTGTGAGTTACTAGTTACTAGCACTGTGGGTTGACCCATTTGAACGCATATTTACTTTACCAAACACAAATATGTTAAAATATGTGAAAATGTACATCACACATGATACACATCTTATATTTTCATAGATCTCTAATATTACGCGATTCATCCAGATATGTTTGTTACATCCTCCGTAAAAAATCATTTTAAAATATAAGTATATTTACAAAGCAACCAAAAAATAATTAAATATCCGAATACATGGAGAAATTCTCAATTAAACAAGCAAGCGAAGGGGCGGAGGCACTGGGCCGGATATTTTTGGAAAAAAAAATTACACGGAATTTTTTACACTAAAAATTTAGACATTTTCAAAATTTGGGCAGGGCCCTGCCCCTAGCTACGCCCCTGAGCCAGCGACACATGCACACCGTAGCAACAATGAAATAAGACAACTGAGGGTGGATGTATTATAATGTAGAAATATACCAAAAAGGGGGCCAGTAGGCAGTAGCATAGCATAACGATTTCTACGCTCGGGCGACTTTGGTCAAATACACAGGCCGTATACATCGCATAATTTAGACGCCATAGAATATAAATAAACTACAAAGGTTTAACACAGATCGGGTAATAAAATGGAGGAAATTGAAAGTAGGAGTATAACATATACTCCGTAGTATTCAAAGAGGATTAGATTTACGATTCTTCTGGACGGGGTGAGGCGTCGATCGAGTGTGGAAGGAACGACACCGCTGGTAAGGTGATTTTTTCTGGAAGGGTATTTGGGCCGGCCGACTGGGTGGATTTATTTGGTGCTTGGGTATAGATGTGATGGAATGGGTCCGAAATTAGTGGGCTTAAATTAAATGCGTAGATATATACTCTGTATAATAATAATACTATAAATTCGATTACGTGAAAATGGATTAACATGTTACGTTGGGTTAAAATTTGATCAAGTGAATTTATTTATAAAAACTTTGAATATACGGAGTATTTAATATTTTAATAGTGTGAAAATGGATTAACATGTTACGTTGGGTTAAAATTTGATCAGGTGAATTTATTTATAAAAACTTTGAATATACGGAGTATTTAATATTTTAATAGTGTTAAGATCCCAAACTTATGTGGTGAGAGCCTGAGGGCGGTATGGTCTTGATCCAACTTTTGCAAAATTCAACAATTATCCGTAATACAGTGTTATTCTTTTTTATCCAAAAAGGGGTTAATTTGTAGTAGTCGATCATTGATATGGGTTCGAGTGAATTGATTAAAGCTCAAGCGACAAATTATCAATTTAGAGGCCGTTTAGTAACACTTTTTTCGGCTTATCAGGCTTATCAACTAGCATTTTCAGCAAACACGTAACTTTTGTTTTTGCGTGTTGAATTGTGTAATAATAAGAAAAAGTAAGGTTGAAGTTACTTTTCTGACTGTATTGGCTGAAGTTACTGTAGATGACCATTTTAGCTATTTTTAGATATATTTTTTTCTTTATTTTATTAGTAAAATATATTTTAAAAATATTTTTTTCTTAAATCATTTTTCTTAAATCAGCATAATCAGCCAATGTAGCCACTTCAGCCAGAACTTCATAAATTTCATCAGAATCAGCCGAATCAGCCGATTTTCGTGTTACCAAACGGTCTCTTATATTTGTACTTAAGAAAATTGTTTTCAAATGCTACATCTAACTTATCTTAATTGTACATTTAAGATTTATATGATTCAATCGGTCGAGTACTGACATATTATATGTCGTACAAATTAAGGATAATAATTTCGAGTTTTGAACGATTTGTTCCATTTATAGATTGGCATGATCATTATTATAATCATAATAATAATATTCAGAATAGAAAAAAATCACGTGAACAATCTCATCTTTTCACGCTCTTTCAATAATAATAACAAATACAAGTAATTCTAATACTTCATATAATCTAAGTTCCACATGTGGTATTTCGAAAATAATTGAGATTGTTAAATTTTATCCCGTGCATCGCACGGGTGAAAATCTAGTACATTACAAAGATAGAATATTCCTTTAAGATTCTATACAATAATAATATCCTAGAGTATATTCCTAAAATATTATAAAGCATATTCTAAAGATAGAATAATATTCTAAAGCATATTCTAAAGAGTATTCTAATGTCTTTCACAATCAGAAAGTCAGAGACTCTATTACTTACCTTTAGTCATTCTCTAGAAATGGACTTCTATCCCTATAGGCCTATATGAAGACTTAGAGGTAGGGATCGTCAATGGGTTGGGCCACTCCGGCCCAAAACTAATGGTTATGGACTTGGTAAGTTGGTTGGGCTGGGGTCAATATATAAAAAATTGATTAATAGGCTGAGCCAGGCTTTTTTTTGTAAAAGAAATTATAGCCTTAGCCCGTTTAAACAGATTGGCTTAACAGGCCAGACCGGGCTAGCCCACATGTCACTAATAGAGGTAGGCCCCAATGGGCTTACAAGAGAGAGAGAAAAATATGCAACACAAAAGACAATTAATCAACTAAGTGAATGAAAAAGAATTCATTACTTCAGAAAATGTACTGATAAAATAAAATTCAAACTTATTTATAGCTCAGAAATTTTTGTGGGTACACTCCTGAAATTGAGATGCACAAATACTACACTTAATCTTCTAATCAAAACTTCTCAAACTTCATCATCAGCATTTATCACCTAACAATCATCAGGAACTCCATTCCCTTCCATATAAACATTAGTTATCTACTCTCGTCTTGATGTAATCATAATATCATATACATAAGATATTCCGTTTGTTGATCCATCTTTTTCTAGCTTGCATTCTAGAGTTTACCATTTACAGGTGTTCAATATTTTAAGAAAATTAATGCTTTAATGGTACAATGTTGACCCGGCCCTATTGTATAACTATGTCAACGCACAATGGAATGACACAATAACAATAGCAGTAGAATCAAATAATATTGACTGGACCGCTACAAGGACACCCGGACAGAAGTAGTTAAAATGAATCAAACAAATAAAAAATAGTTTAAAGAACAAAACAAAAAAAAATCGAAAAAACAAATTATATAACTCAATTGAAAAGGCTAATTTCACAGCAAAGGAACAAAAGTGGAAGAAGAAAGATAACTAAAAGAATCTCATGCCACCGAACATCAGCGTAGTGCGATAAGGAAGAAATATAAGATAGCCATGGAGGGGCGGATCCAGAGTTGAGAGGTGGGGTGGGCAAAGCAGTAAAAAAAATTGCTACCAACTTACTATACATACAAAAATTTAGCTCAAGGTTGTTATTGAATAGATTTTTTTTCGAATTATAAACTCGAGTACAAGCTTGATTTTGAATCTAATTTAATGATCCGATTATAACGAGTTTCAAACTCAAACACGGATTAGTTTTGAGTTTGAATAGTTATTCAAGCCGAGTTCGAACGTAGTGGTGTTTCGTTCGAACCGGACGCGAGCTTATTGTTCACATATAAATTATATCAATAAATTATACTTTGTATATATCTTAAAATTTTAACATTTTTAGGGCAATTTTATAAATTTATTAATGATTAATAAAGATTCAAGTATTTATTGAATAATTCGAACATGAATCTATTAACGAGAATGGTCTAAACTTCTATATCGAGCATGTTTATCGAGGGTTAAAATCGAACACAGAAAATCTATCGAGCCAAACTCAAGCTCAATTTCATATTAGGTTAATATTCATTTCATTTTTTTCCTTTCTTGACAATATGTTCATTATCCATTCTAAAAAACGTTTTCAATATTGGTATGAATTAAAGTACTTCCATAAAATTATAAAACTAATAAGAAAAAAACAATCGTTGTACATAATACTCAATTTCAAAATTCAATTTAAATTTTTAAATCTTTCTTACATGTCTACACAATAATCTAATCTTCAACTGCATAAAAAATAAATCATTCTCTAATCTTCAGTTCTATCTTTAATCATTATAAATTTATAATGAATAAACACTATTTTTATTATCTACTGAAAAATTGAATTAATAATTAAATGCAACTACAAAATTAAAAAAAAAACATACAAAGTCACAAGTCACAAGTATACCAGGAGGGGTGGAGAGTGGAGGTTGGAGCGGTGGAGCTGGAGTGGTGGAGCTGGAGCGGTGGAGCTGGAGTGGTGGAGCTGGAGCGGTGGAGCTGGAGCAGTGGAGCTGGAGGGCGGAGTGTTGGACTGCCTGGTCGCCTCACGCCTGGACAGCTAGAGCGGTGGAGCCGACGGGCTGATACAGGAACCTGGACGGCAGGCGGCGGCGCGGCTGGTGACCGCAGGTCGGCTGATATTCGCTGGACTCTTCTGGCCTCTTTTGCTCTTCGCGTTTAGCACTCCACCTCCGCAGATCGGTTATAAATTGGACTGTTGGACACCGTATTTTGAAGTGGGCTGGATATTAATTTTGGAATGGGCTGGTTATTAAGGGGGTGTTTGGAACTGATTCTAATTCTGCTTCTTTTTTAAAGCAGAAGCAGAATCAGAATCAGTTTTCAGAAGCTGGTACCCCCAGCTTCTAAAAAAACTGATTCTGAGAGTAAATTAGAGCACCAGAAGTGCTTCTGGAATTTCACCCAAACACTCCAACTTCTGCTTCTGCTCCCTGAAGGAGCAGAATCAGTTTTGAGAATCAGATCCAAACACCCCCTAAGTGGTGTTTGGAACTGATTCTGCTTCTGCTTCTTTTTTAAGGAAGAAGCAGAATCAGAATAAGTTTTCAGAAGCTGGTACCCCCAGCTTCTAAAAAAATTGATTCAAGGAGTAAATTAGAGCATCAGAATCACTTCTACATTTTCACCCAAACACTCCCACTTCTGCTTCTGCTCCCTGAAGGAGCAGAGGCAGTTTTAAGAATCGGATCCAAACACCCCCTAAACATAAGTGCAAATTACCCGTGGGATCCCCTTTTTAGAATTAGATATCATCAATGTCCCAATTAATTTCTCTTTTCATTAATAACTTTCTTATTTTCAATTGGGTTTTTTATTTCACTTATAGACACGTTCCGTCGCTTCCATCAATACTTTTAAGGAAAATTTGATTATAATAATCCCAACTATTTGTGATCCGCTCATAATAATCCCAACGATCGATTATTTCATAATAATCCCAACTTTAGGGCCCTTCCGCCAATAATGGTCCGAGGTGATCGACTATAAATAAATTCCTAGAGTTTCTAAAGAGATATAGCAGGTAATCCCTATAAATAATCCTGAATTTTAATTTTTACGCTTAATTTCTATTAAAAAATCACTTTTTAGTGCAGGTAATATGCGGTCATGGACCATTATTGGCGGACGGTCCATATAGTTGGGATTATACAATAGTAATCAATAGTTGGGATTATTATTAGCAGAACGGCAATAGTTTGGATTATTATTTTCAATTTTTCCTACTATTAAACCTTCAACCTTCGCCATCCTCTCGGACTTCTTTCCCGACTTCTCCCTTCGTATCTCACCACATAGTCACATGCCATGGAAACGTTGACCGCAACATCTGTTCTAATCTAAGTGTATGAATTCATGGAGTTCTTCCCACAACAATCATCCAAACTATTCTCGTTGGAGCGGACGATGCAACATCTGAAGAAAGGGAGGTTGCATCTCAGTGTCGACTGGTTTCGATTGATCCCTTATCGCAACGATCCGCCCCCTCTCTGCCAACAAATTGTTCAGCGGTCAACAACCAACGCCGATTCAAGTCCTCTGGAGCCCGCCGATTCACGTCCTCTGGAGCCCGCCACAGCCCCATCCCAGCCAGCGCAGTCCGCGACTGCACCTGGTAAGTTATCTTCCCGTCTAAAGTCGCGGTTTAGAAGCTCGCTCTTCAATTAGGCGCTAGAGGTTTGAATCTGTCTCAAGTTTGTGGTTCCCGGGCCGTGAATTAGTTCTGATCTAAAGGTTCTGCTAGTTTGTATAGTTCAGTGTCTATTACTTGTTCGCTTAATATATTCGATTTAGGGCGATCTCAGAGCTCGTGAAATCTAGTGGAATCGCTTTTTTATTGGATACTCTTTCTCTGGTAATTAGTGGTATTGTTTCTATTGCAGGTTTGAATTTGTCTTAAGTGTGTGGGGATGTTGTTATTGCAGGGGCTAGTCCCTTTGGCAGGGCTGAAAAAGGGGACATAGACTGGGTTATACAATGGAACACTGGTTGAACAATTGATCTTTGGTGTTGTGCTGATCCACTACTTGGTTGTTGCAATGGTTGTGGAGGAACAGATGAGCACAAAGCAGTGAAAGATCAAGAGGTAGTTTTTTATTGTTTGAGGTGTTGCACTGAAGACTCTAATGATGCCACAAGCAAGGTTGTATATGCAGGAGCAGTTATAGAAGTCTGCATGAGGAAAATTGTATTCTACCCTGAAATTGTTGGCTTTAAAAGAAGAGAAGGAGAAGATTCCTTATGTAAAATCAATATGCATACAATTATCCACCAAAGTTGATTATGTTGGGTTATGGAGGGTGCAAGGAAACCATTAGAATTGACAACTGGAAACCGTGAACACATACTTCAGTTCCTAGCAGAAAAGGTTAAGCCATCATTAGATATTTAGTACTGGGGATGGAATCATCTTATAACCAACCTTACCTCCATATATACAGTATATTGAGTAATCTATATTACTCCGTATTAGTGCATCAATTAGTACTCCATGCATGGATAATATGTAGCTTGGGTCAACCATTCTGCATTTTTCAGTTTATCCAACCATTGTAGTATTCTATACCCTTGGATAACCATTGTTGTATTCACTTTGAGAATTTTTTTCTAAGATGCATAAAAGGAAGTGAAAGAAAGCCAAATTATACAATACATATATGTAATACACTGAAATACCAGACTGAATTACATAAACATTGTGGTACTTTTATATGTTATTTTTTGTTGTTTTTTGTTGCATCGTGTTGCATTTTGTTGCTTATTTTCGTTTTAATGTTGCTCTTGATTTTTATGTTTATGCAAGATTTTATTTATCATTGCATATGTAGATTTTATTTATCTTTGCATAGGTAGATTTTTATGTTCATGCATTGTATATTAAATCTCAATAATGATAAATTTTCATTTATGAAACAATAAAAAACAAAAAATTCAAAGATATCAACAAAAGGAAACAAAAATAAACAATATCCAACAAAAGGAAATAAAAATAAACAATATGCAACAAAAAACAATAAAATTACATATTTATTTATTGAATTTATAAAATATTTGCTTTATTTAAAAAAAATACTTTGTACTACGTATATATTTGACTCTAGAGATAAACTTCAGTCTATTGAATCCAATTTATAATATTTATTGCCTTCATCAACCCCAGTGCTATAATTCTCCAATGATAGAGCTTCTTCGTGCCTTTATTCGGTTTCTCCACTTTGACTTTTTAAGTGTTATCTTTTGATTGTTTTCCTTTTTATTCTTCTAGAATTATAATTTATAAATATTAATCCAAATTTAAAAAATACAATAATAAATGTGAAATTACTTTTTATTTTATTATCAATGTTATGTTTTATATTTTAAGGCTTCATCACCTGATGTTGATGCCTTCTACCATTTTCGGATTAGGTGATTGCATATGAAACTTTTTATTGTTTTTCTGTGAACTGTGTCATATGTGGGATTATTGAAACTTTATTTGTGCATTTTAACACGTTTAATCTTACTAGGGGCTGAAAATCTAAAGACTACTTGATGGTTATTAGTGATATGTTTTTGTGACTGTATTATACGAGTAGTAAAAACTGAGCTCATATCAGTTATTGGAACAACCCTGTTTTTTCTTGCTGATGGTTTACTCATCAATGATCTAAACATCCAATTCTCATTAGAGTTTGTTATTAGCAGAGAAAGTTTGGATGGTGTAACTATTCAAGATGACAAGTGAAGAAGTTGGACAAGAGCAAACCAATTCATTCCCAGATGGCATCAATTTGAATTATGTCAAAGTTTACTATGGTAGTTTAGTTGACACTTTCATATTGGTTAATGTCAATAGAGAATTCCCACTTTAGGAGTAAAACATACCAATAATGCAAAAAAAGGAGTCCTATCCCCACCGTTAGTTTGACACACGGAAATATATAGTAAGAGACAAGAATACCCTTAATGAAAAATTAGAGTTGATTTCTTTAATGATAATAAAAAACAGTCATCATCTCCAACGCACAACACATGTCTCCCGCAACACAGTCGTCATCTCCGGTGCCACTAGCGCCGCAACCATCTTTGCCGCCGTCGGCACCATCTCCGGCGCCACAAGCGCCACCACCACCATCTCCGACGCCACTAGTGCCTCCGTCCCTCGTCTTCGCAACCTCTACAACACTATTGCAGCCTCTTGTAGAGCAACCACTTCAAATTTCTGTTTGGCCAGATGTGTAATCTGGAAAAATTTGGACGGAGTATCATTTACAACACCATTAAACCATACTAATTTTTAAATTGATTTCAATCAATGTTTTTGTAACATTTCAAATTAATATTCTAATTTGTATTTGAAATTGACATAGTAATTTTTAAATTGATTTCAATCAATGTTTTTGTAACATTTCAAATTAATATTCTAATTTGTATTTGAAATTGACATAACCACTATTTTGAAGTATTTTCTATGATATTAGCATGAAAATATTACAGAGTACTTATGTTGAAGGTAAATCCCGTAGATCCGAAAGCCCAACACGAACTTTGGATATATCAGGAATGGCACAGAATCAAAGTGTATAAACAAAATGTAAAATGAGAACTCACTAATACTCGAAAACTCACTTGTATTAACTAACCAGTCTGATTACAAGGTGTTTCCCGATCGGTAGGTCGGAAACAATGCTTTAATACAAGAAATAAGAGGAATGATGCTATTCTAGAGCCTGAGTATTGAAATGCTAACCCTTACAATGACTTGAAACCTTCTATTTATACAAATGGAGGGCATGGGCTGCCCTATGCTGATTGGCCGTTGTTCCACCGACTTGGTCATCCATGCTTCCACTTGCTGATGTCACAGTCTGGCATTAATTGCACCTGGCCACTTGCTGGTTGGCCGTTGCTCGAACGGGATGTTGGGCTATGCTGAAGATGCTGTCAAATTGGCCCAAGTATGATATATAGTTCGAACCCCGTTCGGTATGTCTCCTTACTGGGCCAACCCTTATTTGGGCCGAATCTCGTTCGGTATTAATTCTACCTTGATTATCTCATCATACTGTGATGGGCCCGTTGCTTGGGCCGGATATCTTGGGCCTTCCGGACCCGGGTATTGGGCCTCTGGATCAATATCCCAACACAAGTCCCCCACTTCCGATGTCTCGAACGATAGTGAG